CGCTTACTTCCCTTGTTAATTACTTCCGGGGGGAGGGAAGTAATTGTAAGATTACTAATTGTAAGATTAAAGTGATGGAATCTGTGGCATCCCGCCCTTTTCAATGCGTGGATCATGGAGGGAGCAGAACTGCACATGCGCAGAAAGCATGTGGGAAGAAAGGCATGTCCATTGACATTTGTTGGGTGTCACTGTGTCCATAGGTATGAAGGAAATTTGATGCGACGTACCAGTGGATCACTCAAAAAACAATAGCCCCCTAACACAACAGTATGAAAAATTTGGACAAGAGTGCTGCCATTATAATCAGCAAGAAATGTCATGTCTGAACGCACTGTGTCTACCTCACTGTATCACAAACTATGGAGGCCCAACTTGAGATTCAGAAATGAACTTTGAAAAGCCGCTTCCTGCTTCTGCCTGTACTGGAAACTTTCGAAAAAGCCTGCCATTCTATTTCCCTTCAGATGAAAATGAAGCAGTGAATGCTGTCAAGCCTTGGGCCACAGCTGAAGAGCATTTCACCCATGCTGTACAAATATTTTAAATCATCGTATGCATTCGGGTTTCAGAAGTCATTGGGGGTGCATTGCTGAGCTGGAACGAGCTGTTAAAAGCCCAGAGAAGCAAGCAGGTGGTGGAGACACTCGACTTGCATGCTCAGCCGTAAACCGAAGTGCTTGAATCCATTTCGTTTGTTTACAAGGAAGAGGACTCATTGCATTTGCTAAAGCAAATTCTTCTTAAATGTATTCCCTAGTGGGTGATTGATCATAAGCACCCTGCCTGCGCACTCAAAAAATGTGACATACTAAAAACCCATCAGCCTTTCGTTTGTAAGTAATGAAGTCATTTCCATCGCTTGACATGATTTATCACTCCCAGCAACAGCCAAATAAATCTTCCTAGAATTTAGCTTTCCTACGACTACGGGAACTAATATCATTGCGTTGCGGTAGCACTAATGAGAAACGTTGTCGAGACTTGGGCCTTTGCCAGTGTTTTCAGATCATTAATTTGGCCTAAGCGCCAGAGGTTTTTGCCACTTTCCACTTGCTTTTGTGTCGGGTTTGTCGCGAAGGCTTAATAACTACATTTTCATACACATTGAATAGGCAGGTGTCAAATACTGATGCCCTTGGGACTTTTATCTTATGCATGCTGAAGTTTGTCAGTCTACCTGGTTACAGTTGGTTCTCCTTTTCAGGAGGGTGTGTTTACATGTTGTTGTGTAGTGGCTTTTCATTTACCATATTTTTCGCTCTATAAGATTAACTTTTTCCCTCCTAAAAAATAAGGGGAAATGTGTGTGCTTCTTATGGAGCGAATGCAGGCTCTGCAGCTATCGCTGAAGCCAGAACAGCTGCGCAGCAATCCCTCTTGCTGTTCTGGCTTCAGGGATAGCCATGCAAAGCCTCTTCAACAACATTTGATTCAGAATTTTTTTTCTTCTTGTTTTCCTCCTCTAAAAACTAGGTGCGTCTTATGGTCGGGCACGCCTTATAGAGCGAAAAATACGGTACTTTATATACTTTTAAGATGTATAGGCTGCTTTACATTTTTGGCTAGAATTCCTAAGTGGTTTACAGAAATTATAAGATTAAAATACAATAAAATCTGAAGGTTGGAGTATAGAATCATAAAGTTAGAAAGGACCCTGAGGATCATCTAGTCCAGTGGTGGCGAGCCTTTTAGAGACTGAGTGCCCAAACTGCAACCCAAAACCCACTTATCACAAAGTGCCAACATGGCAATTTACCGTATTTTTTACATGTATAGCGAGTTGTTGAGCTTTTTTGGGGAGGACTGCCCAAAGTTGATGAGTTATTTTTGGGGGGGGGTAGAAAATCACTAACCAAGAATGCCGAAAGTCACTCGCGTCACTGCAGATCGACAGCTGGTTGGCGGGTGCGCAACTTCCCACAATGCCGCTTCAGGTGGCGAGCGCTATAGGGAGGGTTTCCTGCTAACAGCAGTGTGGGGCGGTGTGGAACTCCCAATGACAAAGCAACAAGTAGAGCGACTCTACAGAGTGTTTCCCGCCCACACTGGCGTGGGGGGGGGGAGTGGAAAGAAACTTTGCCTGCTGGGTTGGTGGTGCGCATGCCAACTAAGAGGGCTCTGGATGCCCGCTCTGGCCTGTGTGCCATAGGTTCATCAACACTGTTCTAGTCCAACCCCCTGCAATGCAGGTTTACAAGAAATATTGTAAATTAGTTTAAGTAGCAATGTATATGGTATTGTAATCTTCTCGCTCACAATACGTGCATATTTTTCTGCCCTGCAGCTGTGTTTTTTACATACTCGGAAGCAGATTCCTCACCAAGGAAAGGAGGTGAAACACAAATTGGCATGTATCTGTGGAGCTGCTGCTGTTTCTTTGGCGATCACTCGTAGTCGAGTAAGATTGTCTTCCATGAACACGGTCTTAACAGTGAGTCTGTGGAGTGACTGTGGAGGCCAATTCTGGATCCACACATCCTTCCACAGTGGGGACATAGGTTTCCGGGTTGGAGTTGATCACGGTGAGGGCTTGCCAAATGTGCCTTCCTCTTAGCACCTTCATTCCTTTTGTCCTGAGTTCAAGCATCAGGCACGTATTGGCTAGTGCCGCTTCCTTTGCAGCCGCAGAGCACTTTCTGACTTCATTTCCTATTTTTATAAGGTGAAAGGTGAATATAATAGGTAGGTAGGTAGGTGGATAAGATAGATAGATAGTATGCATGTCTTTTTAATAACAGCAAAAAGAGGAGGGGCTGAACAACTCTCCCACTTTTTCAATATTTTTCCTTGTTAAAACCAGTTTGTTTGTTTTTCTCCTAAAGAGTGTTTCTGCTGCTATCAGCCTTTGACTTACCAGCTCCTGAAACTGAAAAGCAAATCCCTTCCCTCCTATTTTCACCGTATTAAAGTCCAGCCAGGGCAGGTGGATTGGGCCAAAGGCAATGATTGGAGCTAGTGCCACAGTTGCTCCACAAAACCATTGTCTATGTATGGTCTTAGTGTCAACTAAGTGTCAACAGCATCTTCTGTGAAATGTAATAATGAGGTTCATCTTTTGCCTAGTTCATTGTAACTGTTCCCTTGGCATAACCTGTTACTTCAAGCAGGCCAACAATGGGATGACCTTGCATAGGGGTTGGTGTTTTATTTATTCCTGGCTGTGTGTGTGTGTGTAAGAGACAGTTCGAGAAGTTGTGTAAGAATTAGATGGTTTAATAGATTTATAAGTTTGTCTCGTTCCCAGGCACTGATGCTCTAGTAGTGTTTGACTAATGAGGGATGTTCATCATGACTGTCAGGAGCAATTGTGTTTCCAGTTACCTGTGATTCCTTGAATCTTTTGGGGTTTTTTTTAAGATTCAGAAATCTTCTGTGTGTGCCATCCAGTTAAAATGCATGCTGCCGTCAAGCAGACCGTGCCTGTCTCTCCCAAAATCATATGCCACAGGCAGGCTCTGCTTCCTTAATAACAAAAATCAGAAAAGGTCAGCCTTCTGGAGCACAGAGCCTGGCACTGCTGCTGCATAATCTAGTCCAGGAGAGGGTGAAATGAATGCAAATTGCAAGGCACTGCTTCCATGCTGAGCTATGAATGGTTCTCATGCATACATAGAGCAATTCTATACATGCAGGCAGAAGGATGTTAGCTCAGTGGCAAAGAACATGCAAGAGGCTTTTTGATTTAATCCACAGCACCTCCCAGCTTGGGCTGGGAAAGACACCCGGGGTCTTCATCTCCTGAGAAGCCACTGCTAAATAGTCCAACAATACTGAGCTCAATGGGTAAATCCTATGTTCTGCGAGCTGTTTTAATGATTCCCTGTCCTTTCTCTAGTTACAGGTTTGCATCCTTATTGGGAAGGGAGAAAAATGTGCATGTTTACTTTTGTACATTTATTTATTGCAAACACCAGTTAATCCTTTTTTGGCCAAGACACACACACACAAAAAATCAATAGAAATGTAAAAACAGCCAATGAGCAGAAATGCATTAAGAAGCAGCAATCAAAAACAACACGCAAATAGTAATGGGCAGAGCTAAAACAACTTGGCAAAAAACCCATAGTATTAAAAGATTTCAAAAGCGCAACAGGGAACAATAAGAAACCCATGAACACAGGTTGAAAAAAAGCATGGCAGAAGGGGGAAATCGGAGCCACAACAAGCAGTGAGGGTGGGGGCAAAAAGTGTGCTGTTGGCAATGAATTTCAATCCCAAGAGGAAAGCAGTATGTCTCTCTTCAAGGAATTCATTGCTACGAGATCTTGAGATGACTGCTAGCCATCTGCTTCTTTTCATATATAAAGGGCAAATCTTGGGAGGGGAGGTGAAAGCCCATTAATTAAACTTGTGAGCAGTAGTATACCAATGAGCGATAACTCCCAAAGCGGTATTCCCCCCTCCGTGTGACATTTCTTAGGCCAGACTGACTACGATTAGGGACAGAGGATGAGCCCATAGCCAGAGACTGCATTTGGATTCTGATGAGTGGACCTGAAAGCCCACAATAGTCAAAGCAATGTCATTTAGACTCTTGCATTGGAGCCCTCCATTCTTCCTTCTCTCTTGGCCAGTGTGCTTTGTAGACCCTGGCAACCCCTTGCTGCTTACCTGCCTTCCTTCAACCCCATTTCCTGAAGTGATCAATTTCCAACCTCTTGTGGGAAGAAGCCCTGTTTCTCCTATCACTGCAGGTGCAGTCCTGAAGCCTGTCGCAGGAAACCAGTGGTAGCATCACTGAGCCTAGTAGAAGCAGTCCTTATTAGACCAAGTCACAGCAGAGATGCAATTAGTCCATTTAAAAACAAGCCAACCGACACAGTAAGGAAATCTAGAATTACTTGCACAAACACTTCCTTTTTTGCACAAAAAATATATATATTATGCTGCCCGACTTAAAAAATGCAGTTCGGCAACTCCGATTGATGGCTAACTTTCAGCAGCAGGAAAACAATCCATTCCCAATGTGTTTCTTCACAGTGTCGTCCTAGCGTTGGCTACACCAGGGTGGCAAAGGTCCTAGCCCCGTCGATGCTTTCTGGCCTCTTGTAGGCCTTGTGCTGGTCTCCCTCGCTGTAGGTCCTTTCAAGGCTGTACTGCACCTTCGCCGCCTGCCTCTGGAACTCCCGCACGCTCCGAATGGTGAGGAAACAGACCACAGTGCTTGCGAAATACAGGCAAGCCACCAGGAGGCCAAAAAGAGCCACGGAAGCATCTCCGCCTTGCACGCTGCAGTTCATGGATGTGTAGCCTCTCCTGGCGTAAAGCCTCTCTCTTTTCTTGCACACCTCCGTCGCGTTGACTTGTAGGACAAAGTGGAGGTAGAGGCCCACGGCCACTATGTACGCCAGGCAAGCGAGGACGTCGAAGACGCATTCCGTGACGAGCAACCGAACCGTGAGGCGATGGATGGGCTTCCCTCCAGCGACGAGGAAGAGGATGGTAAGGCACAGCAGCGTTAGGCTGAAGGCCACGCCGCCGTAGACGCAAGGAGCTCTCATCTGGTTGAACTGCATGTCCAGGTCCCTCACCTCTTGCAGCTCTACCCCTTCAAAGGGGCTGTAGGCGGAATTGATGTTGAAGGAGCCCAGGCCTCCCATGGAGGTGAAGCCGGAGATGGATGCCTGAGCTGCTCCTATGCAGACCAGCACCAAAATGTTAAGTGTGATTTCAACAAACTGCAAGATTCCTGCAGAGAAAGAGAGGGGAGAGTTAATATTCCCTGTATAAATCCATCCATGCCTCTAAATAGTTTTGCTGCAGAAAAACTCATGTCTGTGTGTTTATTTATCGGCTATCTTTAAGCATCAAAACCCTCCTGTAAAATAAAGGGCACAAGCAACGAGGCCATCAGTGCAGTAATGTTAACACTAAATCTGAACCACACATAAGACTAAAATATAAATCCAGTTTGGTCAAATATTCAAGTGCAATCATGCAGACTGATTACCGATAGATAAATACCCACCATTTTACCGGAGCGCACAAAGGTTTCTGGGATCTGCAGCGTAGCTGGGTCTCAGGTTTGGATTGCACTCACAGCTCATTACATGGTAAAATTGTTCCTGACCTGTACTACTAAAGTTGGAAGGGTTGTTTTATAATGGAAAACTGGCCCATATTCTAAACAAGGTAGATGTTTGGAAGATGGTTCTAGCCTAGCCTTCTCTCTGATGTAATATGGGAGAAGAGACCTGCAATGGCATATAATTCAACCGGCTGAAGATAAGAAAAGGTAAAGGTAAAAAAAGGTAAAGGGCCCCTGGACGGTTAAGTCCAGTGAAAGGCAATTATGGGGTTGCGGCACTCATCTCACTTTCAACCGTGACGGAAACCACAGCGCACAGAAATGCCATTTACCCTCCCGCTGCAGCAGTACCTATTTATTTACTTGCACTGGTGTGCTTTTGAACTGCTAGGTTGGCAGGAGCAGGGACCAAGCAATGGGAGCTCGCAGGGATTTAAACCGCTGACCTTCTGATCGGCAAGTCCAAGAGGCTCAGTGGTTTAGACCACAGCGCCACCACAGCTGCTAGGTAACTATCTGGCCTCTACTTAAAATAATCTGCTGAAGGGGAGTTTGTTGCCTTCCAGGTCAGGCTGCAGAGTGGTGCTTTCTATTGGAAACCAGTGATACAAAAGTGCACAAGCCATGGAACAGCTTCACTACATAAGACACTCTTTGTCTTGGGGTCCTTCCTACGAGACCCACGCCTGAGCCAAATCTGTAACAATAATGGTAGCTCTTGTAAAAATTTTCCATTCGTCCATCAACAGCCAACTGCATTTAGTCATGCAACGTCTGCAGTTATCACAAGAGAGCATGGCCATTTTGAAGCTTCCACCATAGGATAATAACAGTGTTATTTTTTAAAATGGCTAAGAAGTTTTTATGTACTTTACTCCCCCCTCGCCCCCAAAAAAGGACAGGGAAGCAGCAGCATATTACAAACAAACCCAAATAAAGCAACCCAGTCTGCCACAGTTAAACACGGAAACAGCAGAGAAAACGCAGATTGCAGACCTGGCCGCTTAAATAACATACAGCCCAGGTTGGGGTGTGAAAAGTAACCAATACTAAAGACATAGCAAAAACAAAACAAGTGTTTTCACAAGTGTTGAAAGGAGGGAAATCATTGAGGTGAAGCTGCCTTGTGGTTCCACAGTGTGGATGCTGCCTCTGAAAAAGCTGCTCCATATGCCCACCCACTGGTGGGATAGAGAATAGGGTCTTCTCCAAGGATCTTGACCAATCATAGAGTTGGAAGGGAACTTGAGGGTCATCTAGTCCAACCCCCTGCTATGCAGGAATCTCAACAGTTCCCCATCCAGTTTGAAACTTTACCAGGCCCTGCTTAGCTTTACAAATGTGCTAGCAATTTAGACTGGGAGGATTCAGGGTATTGTGCGGGAGAAGGCAATCCTTTAAATCCCTAACAGGTTGTAACTGGGATAGTTAAAGGGACTGACTGGGCTCAGAAACAACCAGGAACCAATTTAGAGCAAATCATAGAATTGTAGAGTTGGAAGGGACCCCAAGGGTCCACTCGCACTGGTGTGCTTTTGAACTGCTAGGTTGGCAGGAGCAGGGACCGAGTAACGGGAGCTCACCCCATCACAGGGATTCTAACCGCTGACCTTCTGATTGGCAAGCCCTAGGCTCTGTGGTTTAACCCACAGCGCACCCACGTCCCGTCATCAATGGTTACAAGCCATAATTGCCTATATGCTGCAAGGCTGCATGTCAGTCGCTGGTGAACAGCAACAAAAAAAGGGTTATTGCCTTCATCTTCGCATGGTTGTGGGCTCCCCCCAAGGCATTGGGTTGACAACCGTAGGAGTCCCGATTAGGGTTTTAATGCTGTTATGTTTGGCTTCTTGACATCTTCCAGAGTCCAGATTATCTTAAATGAGAGTGCTCCTACCATGAAACAAGACAAGAGGAGAGTGAAGGAAAGGGGAATCAAATCAGGGCTGCTAGCACACTGTACAGAATTTGAAGAGTCTTTTTAGTACGAAGCTTACAGTCCTCCCAGCTGCTGGAAGGGACTCGAGGCGGTTACCGTGCCTTGCAGTGGCAGAACTTCAGTAAACCAGGATGCACAGAGGACCTTCTGAAGTCATTTAAGAACTTCTTCCAAAACAATTTTTGGTGGAGTGAATGATCTCTGCCAGGAGCTCTGAATCAGCACCCACTGGGATTCCAAGTGAGGCCAGAGCGTAAGGCCCAAATATTAAGCCATCTCCCCCCCCCCCAAACACTGATAAAACAGGACTTGAGTACATTTGACCTCCATTATTCTGAGGAGTGTTCTTAGTAAGTTATTTTTGTCCTACTGTGCCAGAAAGAGTAAATCAGCAATAGGAGTTTGTGAAGGTGCTATAGCTTAGGCCTCCTTGCAATGCTGGTACAACATAGGCCAGGACTGCCTATTAAATACCTTCCAGGCCAACAACACACAAGCGCACTACAAGGAACTCATTAAGTCACTTACTTTCAGCAGCTAGAAATATCATAACTAGACACTGGAAGGGTCTATCAGGAGTGAACATAGACCACGTATGGGAAACCGCCCTACTAGAAAAGTTAACCAACAAACTCAAACTAGCACTGGGACAAGCTACGAAGCATGCCTTCACCCCAGTGTGGTTCCCCTTTATTACACACGCAGCACAACAGGGCAATGACCTATTCCTTGCAACAGCATACAAATCAATATAACACAACCTTGGGACATACAGTGGTACCTCGGGTTAAGAACTTAATTCGTTCAGGAGGTCCGTTCTTAACCTGAAACTGTTCTTAACCTGAAGCACCACTTTAGCTAATGGGGCCTCCCGCTGTCGCCGCGCCACCACCAAGCGATTTCTGTTCTCATCCTGAAGGAAAGTTCTTAACCTGAAGTACTATTTCTGGGTTAGCGGAGTCTGTAAACTGAAGCATCTGTAACCTGAGGTACCACTGTAATATAAACACAACCAACCAAGATTGGGAACCCCTAACCTCTTGCAATATCAATAAAAATGAATGAATGAATGAATGAATAAATAAATAAATAATTACACAAAGGACCCACCATGTGATGCTGACACAACCCTCCCTACACTAAGAATAGACAATAGAACAAAAGAACAATATCTCCTTCAATCCCACTTTCCCCCAACTGCAAGAAGTCTATGACAAAAATTTCTCTCACCAAACGTAAACGAACTGAAAAAGATTATGAACTGAAAGTGGAGACAATGGATGTACTGTCCCCTGCTTATCTGTTTGCTTTGTAACACAGAAACCCCCAACAAAAAACTTTTAAAACAACAACAACAACATGAACAAACCACCCTGTTGGGTAGAGTGACTGGCCGAAACTCGCCCACCGAGCTTCATGATTGAGTGGAGATGCAGCCCTGGTCTCACCACATCTCAACTAACGCTTCCAACGGCTACACCAAACTGGCTCTCAGACCAAGTTCTTTGACTGTGGATATTTTTCCACTTAGGTTTAGTTGCAGAAATGCAGCTTGGTACTCCAGACACAATATCTGGTGTCAAGAAGGGGTTAGGTATACGCACAAGTGCAATCTTTCCCCATTAGTCTGGTATAATAAAGGCCTCTCTCTTAATGTAACTATTTACCTGTTGTGCAACCACATACGCTCAAACATTTCTGTGATGAAAATAGGGATGTCCCATTCTGTAGTGATAATATTACTATTTATACCCCACACATCTTAATTGGGCTGCCCCAGCACTCTGGGCAGTTTCCAACCTACATAAAAACATAATAAAACATTAAACAATAAAAAAAACCTTCCCTATACAAGGCTGCCTTCAGAAGGCTCAGGGTTGGATAACTCCATGTCCTCCAACAAAAATAGGGACATCCTAAGGAAAAGTGGGACATTACAGGATCAAATCAGAAACCAGGATGACTTCTCTAAATCTGGGATGTCCCTGGAAAACAGGGACACTTGGAGGGTCTGCAACCAACTTAGAGACATAACATATATATATCATTAAAAAAAGTGGGGAGGGGGAGGCAAGAAATCACTACCACTGTCTTTAGAAGAGACACTCATTGAAGGTCTTGATTAATCTTCTGAATGTTGGGAGAAATGTGCCCAGGGAGACTTCACAACCTTGCAGTTTGGAAGCTGGAAAAGCCTGAGCAAAACCAGCAGAAAGTCCCTGTAAATTTGTCGTGCGGAAAGCTAATTGACATAACTCTATGCCCCTCCTTAAATGTAAAGGAAGACTCAATGGCTGCAGAAAGTAAGTTTTAAATGCAGTTATGCATAGTGCAAATAAATGACCAAGGCTTCCCTAAAGCGATACCAATTAATTACTTGGCCACTTGGGGGCAGGTTAGGATAAACAAATGTCTACCCTGAGTAACACTTTCATGCTGCATAGTTTGATCTCTCGCACCACCTAACTGCCGACTGTACCTGCCTTGTGTTTTGCTTCCTGTGGAGGAAGCCTCCCTTACTCGCAGGCGAGGCTCCCAAATACCTGCACGTTTGGCCGGAAAGTCTGCGCAGGTGGAATGACACAAGCAAACAGAAGGATGTCTCCACTCAAAACTAGCCCAGAGTAAGGGGCATTTGGGTTGCAGCCTTAGTCTGGATGCAAGCTTGTGTATACTTACAGAAATGCGTAGGCAATGCCAACAATCCCAAGCAATCTGAAATGACCCAAAATACGAAACCTGGCTTCCCTGAAGGTCTGCAGAGTTTGATCTCTCGCAGAGAGATTCTTAACAAAGTGTACCACCTAGAAGTTAAATGTCAATTGTACCTGCCTTCTCTTTGTGGAGGAAGCTTGCAAAACCTGTCTTTTATTTATACGAGCTGCTACAAAGTGAGAGGAGGCAGTCAGTCGCTTGGTTTGTTTTATCATATTAGGGCAATGTTTGCCTGCGTACCTTCACAGATGTGCCTGAGTTCTCTACAACTTGAGCAGTGGGTATTTTTATTTTTGTATTTTAAAAAGGGAAACTTTTTTTAAAAAATCCAATCGGACTCCTTTCCTCCAGCTTAAGTTTCTACCCTCCTTTTTATACTTATCCCAGGGACGCGGGTGGCGCTGTGGGTTAAACCACAGAGCCTAGGACTTGCCGATCAGAAGGTCAGTGGTTCGAATCCCCATGACGGGGGTGAGCTCCCGTTGCTCGGTCCCTGCTCCTGCCAACCTAGCAGTTCGAAAGCACGTCAAAGTGCAAGTAGATAAATAGGTACCTCTCCAGCAGGAAGGTAAACGGGGTTTCCGTGCGCTGCTCTGGTTCGCCAGAAGTGGCTTAGTCCTGCTGGCCACATGACCCGGAAGCTGTACACTGGCTCCCTCGGCCAATAAAGCGAGATGAGCGCCGCAACCCCAGAGTCGGTCACGACTGGACCTAACGGTCAGGAGTCCCTTTACCTTCCTAAGTATAGACCAGGTTCAATCACTGCCCACTGCCTTAAGATGCTGTTTTTTATTATATGCTTGAGTCCAAAACAGAGATTCTGGGTAGACGGGTCTGCAGGAATGTCAGGGTGCTAATATTACGGAGAAGGGTAGGTCCTCAGCCCATGTTCCTGTTGATCCTCCTTAGTTGCTTGGCAATACTTGCAAACACCTATACAATACTGTGGTCGCAAAGCAGTAACGAAAATGTAAGCCAAGTTTGATGTACTTATTATATTATTATTATATATAGCAGCACACTGAGGGGGGATTTTTCCACTCTAAAACAGCCAAGTGAATAAGGCTAAAGTGAGCATTCTAGCTAAATGCAAACCCAGCTGACATCAGGTATGTGCTGTTGCACGCGACTGAGGTCATCTCCCAAACACCCCGCTCCTCCATCGTGGCCCTCAATGGGCTTATTGGATCCCTTTGGATAGAGGTGACTTGGCCACTGTTCTCCATGCTCTGGTAGCCTCCAGGCTGGATTATCCCAATGCACTCTACGCAGGCTGCCCCTGAAGACTTTTCAGAAGCTTCAACTGGTCCAAAATGCAGCTGCCGGATTATTGGCTGCTCACATAACCCCTGTTTTGAAACAGCCTACACTGATGGCCAGTGCATTTCACATTATGTAAGGTTTAAGGAAAATCTTAAAAATAAATTGTAGGAGGGCGGTAAGGGATGTGAGGCTACCAATAGCAACCAGCCAGCGTGTTGCCCTATCTTACTTCTTTGAGCCTCAGGTGAGAGGAAATGTGGTTCGGTTTCTCTTTTACCTGGAGTCCCAAGAGTTATGGGGTCTCCTCGATTTCTTCCACTCTGACTCTTTGTCCTTGCCTCTTCTCACATCCCTGTAACTTTTCTCCCAAGGCCGATTCCCCAAAGTGTGAACACAAAACTGTGAACAGCATCCCTTACTAGAAGGCAAGGCTTCCATCTTCCTACACGTTTAGCCAGAAAGTCTGTGCAGGTGAAGCAAGCAGAAGAATGTCTCCACTCAAAACTAGCCCAGACTAAGGGGCATTTGGATTGCAGCCTTAGTCCGGATCCAAGATTATGTCAGCTGTATTCTTACAGAAATGCTTACAATCCCAAGCAATCTGAAATGACCTAAAATACAAGACCTGATGCTAGCTTCCCTGAAGGTTACAGAATCCAACGGAGGGCTTGTTTGCTCCTCCAGCTCAAGATGAGTTCAACTAAGGCCGAAGCATGCCGTAACAATAGTTCCAATATTCACCCCACAGCGATTTCTATCAGTATCAAAACACTTGCCCGATTCATCAGAGAGAAGTAACAAAGATACTGTGTGCTCTGAGGAGTGGAAGTTAGAGGATTTTAAAGGAAAACCCGAAAGCGCTGAAGCTGTGGTCCTGAGGGAGGACCCCAGAGGAGCAGTGCTCAAAAAGGAATGGAGGAAGCAATATTTATTTATTTTCACAATATCCTGGCTTTCCTCAGAAGACCTAAAGGCAGCATTCATGGGTCTCTCAGAGAGAGCACTTTCTTCACTGAAATTGAAGAAGCAAAGAAAATTCTGCATCCAAGAGCCCTTTCAATTCCCTTTTAAAAAGCAGCTAGTTGAATTATTAGGCTAGTTGAATTATCTTTTTGCCCCTGAACACTGTACTGGGATGAAGGGGTGTGTGGGTGTGTCTGCAATGGAATACAAGATAGGAGAAGGTTGCAGAAATCTAGGAAAGGGATGTTCAGGGCATGGACCATGTTTTTTGCTGAGATGATGGGAGAGGAAGAGCCGTATTTCTGCAGCTTTGTAAAGGGAGAAGGGGCATAAATCAGCAACAAAGGGAATGCAGGAGACAAAGGGTAGAAAGCTAAGGCTACATGCCTGTGAGATACAGAACTCTGAAAGTTATTTATTTGTTGTTGTTGTCATCAACAACAACAACATTTCCATACCTTCCATAACCATCTAGTACCCTATGAGGGTGGATCACAAACTAAACAAAACAAGGGAAGAAGCACAGCATGTATATAAGAAAAGCTTTCTACATGCAGGGAAATATCTCCTAAGTTACATATACAGATTTGCTAGCATGTTTCCCTAACTCCATTAAAAAACAAAAACAAAACCCATAAATGCAGATACATGCACATAGTATTTATATGAACAGTTCATTCTCATATATTTGCCAGTCACAGAATTTGATTATTTTTTTCAAGGCAGAGATCTGGTTAGTTTTGACACAGCACCTTGATCCCAAAAATAAGGAGGCACCACTTCTTAGGGCAGTGTGACCTCTGTTCCAGTTCCTTTAAGATTCTGATTAAATGTTCTGGTTGTTAAGCGGGGGGAAGAGTAGCTTTCAGACACATATGAATTTATGCTGGTTTATTAATGCATGAGCATATCCTGGGGGAAGGAGGGGGGAAATCACTTTATAGCTATATCCTAATTTTATTTGCTGATGGGATTCAATTTAGTCACTTGCTAATTTGCAAATGGGAAGTGCCCTTGTTGGGGGCACACAGGGGACACTGAAGACGGAAGGCAGGGAACAGCCGTGGTCAAGGAAGCAAGGTACTTGCTTTGTGAAGAAAGAATGGCAAGGAAGCTGGCACTTGTGTGTGTGTGTGAGTGAATAATCTGGAAGGGCCCAATGGAGGAGCATTTTTTGTATTATTAACAGCAGCAGCAGCAACAACAACAACAACAACAACAACTGGAGATTGCAACAACAACAACAACAACAACAACTGGAGATTGAACCTTCAAGGAAAGTCTCATATTAACCACAAAGAAGTCTTCTTACCCATTTGATATGTGATTATATCCACAGGGAGAGCTATTTATTAGGTAGCTGGATAATGCGGATTTACAGGACAATTCTATACATGTGTGCTCAGAAGTTAGTCCCATGTACTGCAGCCTACGACAAACATCACATTTCTGTATGGTCATGAGAATGTGATAATGCTTACCAAATCAGATAACTCCTCTCTGGTTGCAGCTGCTCTCCAATGACATAAAGGCTGCTTCCAGGAGACAGGTGTTTGATATTGCAGACAATGTATAGCAGACAATATCTGATAAATTTTCCACATAAGGGAAAATCCGGATTGGGGAAGGAAAGACAAGCTGGTATTTAGATACCAATAACATTGTGAGGACGCTGCAAAAAACTTCCATGCAAGAGGAGCACTGGTCCCACAATCCACTTCTGTCTGGAAGCACCCTAAGCAGCTACCATATCGCAAAAGGTTGCCAAATCCACACTTCAACTGCTTTTTGTTCTGCTTCAGGGTCAGGTAGGTCTGATTTAGACATTCATTCCTAAATACTCAGAGGAGTTGTCCTCCCCAGCTGGTTGGAATTTCTAGGAATCCAATCCACTACATTCTTAGTATTTGACAGTGAAAAAGAAGCCTGCTCGTTTACTTTCACCCCACCTTGTCCACTCTCCTGGAAGTGAGGAAGAAAGAGGAGAAGCTACCATCTACCTCTACCCTGCAGTAAACAACCTTATGGGTGTTTCTGTAAAGCTTAATATTTGTCATTGGATAGAGTGAGGCATCTTCCCCAGGCAGTTGATGTTGGGTGCCACGAGGGCAGTACATTTAAGTAGTTATTTAATTTATTAATGGTGCATTGTTGCTGCTAGCAAGGGGTGTGGGGGAGAGGGGGTTGTGGGATTTTTATTTTTTTCATCAGGTGCCAGAATAACTCAATTGATCTTGGGGGTGTAGGTGCCATTTGCCTCAGGCAGCAAAATTTATTGGGCAGGCCCTGGTATTGGATGATCGCAAGGCAACTAATATCAAATAAGATGAATATGTTCCTTAAAAAAAAGATGACCACAACTTCTGAGGGCCCAAGGGAGAGCTTGATTGGGGTAGGATGGGGGCAGGAAACAGAAAACAGCTTGTAATTCTCTTTAGTTCCTCCTGCCAAGTGAGCATGCTGGGTAGAAGCCAAGGCTGCAAGCCTTTTTAGTTGGCAGTTCCACTGAACAAATGGAACTCACTTGTAAATAAATACGCCCAAGACTGGGCAGCTCTTGCTTCCCTTGAGAAGGTCAAAGGGGAGAATTTTGGGAGAGGGCAAGAAATAATGCCCAAATGCCTGTAATAAGCTCAGAATGAGCTGCAGGAAACTCCACTTTGCTATATAAGCTCGAGATGCCTTAATGTCATATAACATTAGCGAACTGACAAGGGAAGAGTAGCCACACACAAAAAATGCCGACATTCAGCTGCTGCTGGGAGCTGAACTTCACTTTGGCTGAGGTGAAACTTCAAAAAAGGGCCAAGGGAGTGGAAGGCTGGAATTTAATGCATGAACTAAAAATAACTGGCAAAATCCAAAGCTGAAATGACTCTAGTGAGATATTTAAAATAGTCATATGAGGTGAATTTTGTAAGAGACTCATGATAATTCATTTTGCTGAGGTGCAGGGTGGAGAATCAGTACCCTAAAGGTTCTCTCAAGCTTACAAACTCACGACACAATCTCATAAATTGTGTTGTGTGCTGAGAAGGAAACACAAGTCACGAAATGATGAAATCTGACTACTGTGCTGGAAACTGAATGTTGAGTAAATTCGGCTGTGCGTAATCCAAGGTAAACATTTAAAGGTGTGCTTCATAGCTTCAGACTGAGCACCTGTCTCCAAGCAATGGAGCCAACCACACAACACTGTTAAAAAACAGACTGTGGATGGCCAAGGTATCATTCTCCATTGCCTTTACAACTTTTGGCTAGGAGTTTGGGAAAGGGGACACATACTGTTATTTAATCCCAAGAAATGAAATCAGCCGAGTATCATGATTACCATCCTTTCAGCAAGGGCACTGAAATATGTAGTCATGCTGGATTCTCCAAATAATGGAAAAAACTGAAACATTTGACTCCCTGGGGTCACTGAAGATGTATGTGAAAACCTGCGGCTCTTTAAACCTTTATCAATGACTATTTGATATGCTAGGAGATTGCTAGCCAGGTGTGGCCAGTAAGTGCCCCCATTTGTTATAAAATTGGATTTGGCTGCAAGCTGTGAATTTAAATTACTTGATCTCCTCCTGTTCTTTGTTCTGCCTGAGGAAGAGTTCAGGGAAAGCTGAAACCTCTTATTCCTTCTGCTCCCCCAACAAAAGATCCACTTGTACTCCTCTTTAAACAACTTTGTGGATCAAAGGATGCGATTGAGTAGAGTAAGACAAATGTTTGCATACCTCTTCTTGAACACAGGTTTGAGCACTTCTCAGAAAAAGTCTCTTTTCGAGGATAAAACAACGGTGGTGAAGAATCAACATATTCCCGAACTGTTCCTGGGTTGTTTTGGTGAGGGTCTGCAAAAGCTGTGGGATATCTAGGATTTTCCGTTGTTCCTTCTGGTGACCTACAGGTGGAGAAGGATAAAGAACTGATACCTTAAGCATCGCCTTCTTAAAACTTATTTTACTTAAAAGTGATTTCCACGCCACTTTTCAAGCTCATAGATTCTCCCATATGTTCCCTCCCTTTTATTGTTTGAAACCCTGCTCTGGAATCCTCTGCTGTCCAACACCGAGAGGACAGTAGCAAAGAGTGGGGACATCTCAGTGATGGCACCACACTATGGAATGCCCTTTCAGTGGAGATTTGACACACCCGAACACTTCTTATGGTTTTAAATAGTGGAAAGGGTAAAGGGCCCCTGGAGCGACTATGGGGTTGCAGCGCTCATCTTGCTTTCAGGCTGAAGGAGCCGGCATTTGTCCACAGACAGCTTTCCAGGTCAGGCAGCCAGCATGACTAAATTGCTTCTGGCACAACAGAACACCATGACGGAAACCAGAGTTTACCTTCCCGCCAGAGCGGTACCTATTTATCTGCTTGCACTTTGACGTGCTTTCGAACTGCTAGGTGGGCAGGAGCTGGGACCAAACAATGGGAGCTCACCCCATCACAGGAATTCAAACTGCCAACCTTCTGATCAGCAAGCCCTAGGCCACGGGTGTCAAACACAAGGCCCGCGGGCCGAATCCGGCCCGCCAGACCTCGTCATGTGGCCCGTGTAGCCGCCGCCGGCCGCCAGCCTTTACCTTTTATTCTCACTTTTTTTTTTTTGGACACAAGAAAGCTGCCTCTTCAGCGCATGCGCGGCAGCCTACAAGCCAGAGAACGTCTGCCCTCTAGCGGCGCCGGCTGTTCTACACAGGAAACCTCCACTTTACATGCATTCAGGAAACCTCCACTTGTTTTTATATTGAGCGCATGCCATCCTGTGATGTGACAGATCCAACGGCTGCCTGAACCCTTCTCTCCTATACTGTAAGTCCTACAGATACAACCGGCCCTTTGAGGGTGACCAAACTGCTGATGCGGCCCCCGATCAATTTGAGTTTGACACCCCTGCCCTAGGCTCAGTGGTTTAGATCACAGCACCACCCGCATCCCTACATATAGGTTACTACAGCCCTGCAAACTTGTTTTCAAAGTTTACTGAATTACCAACCTTAACACTGCCAGACTGTTATTGGCTTTCGCTTAATGTTCTTCGGATTTCTTATTTTAATTATTATTCCAACCCTAAGCCATCATTTATTCACTCAATTAGATTTTCCAGTCCTAGCTCTTTTGCATTCATCTGTTCTCATTGGCAGAATTACAAGTACACCAATGCAACTGTAATCAGCAGACATTAATTACCGTGGTCCTGCATACGAGCTACACTGTCACAAATTAGAAGCATCACCCACTTTGCCGCTAGCTTTTCTCTTCTAATGAATATGATCTATAGGAACAAATTAATCAATTGGTTGTAGGCATAGGTGCCAAGATGTTAAAGTCTGGCGGGGCAGTAACCCTTCCTCCCCCCGCCCCTTGACCTTTAGGTTTTTTGTCTTGTGCACTGAACAGCTGTACAACATAAGCTGTGTGATTTATAAGTCTTTCTACTAAACAGAGAGCAATCCCTTGGACACCAGGAATGCAGGTGCCTCCCTCTTTTAAACGAGCCACATGCCAGAAAATAAGATGCTCCAGAAACTAAGAGTGACAGTGATCACAAATGTGAGCTCTGTCCCAACAACCATGGTGGTTGGCTGTATTTCCAGAGAAAAGAGAGTTCCTGGAAGACTTTGAAATTGCCTCATTTAAACGCTTGCGCGCTCTCTCTCTCTCTCTATATATACAGGTAAAGGTAAAGGGACCCCTGCCCATTAGGTCCAGTCGTGACTGACTCTGGGGTTGTGGCACTCATCTTGCTTTATTGGCCGAGGGAGCCAGTGTACAGCTTCCAGGTCGTGTGGCCAGCATGACTAAGCCGCTTCTGGCGAACCAGAGCAGCGCACGGAAACGCCGTTTACCTTCCCGCCGGAGCGGTACCTATTTATCTACTTGCACTTTGACGTGCTTTCGAACTGCTAGGTTGGCAGGAGCAGGGACCGAGCAATAGGAGTTCACCTCATCGCGGGGATTCGAACCGCCAACCTTCTGATCAGCAAGTCCTAGGCTCTGTGGTTTAACCCACAGCACCACCCGCGTCCATATACAGTGGTACCTCGGGTTAAGTACATAAATCCATTCCGGAGGTCCGTTCTTAACCTGAAACTGTTCTTAACCTGAAGCACCACTTTAGCTAATGGGGCCTCCTGCTGCTGCCGTGCCGCCAGAGCACGATTTCTGTTCTCATCCTGAAGCAAAGTTCTTAACCCGAGGTACTATTTCTGGGTTAGCGGAGTCTATAACCTGAAGCATATGTAACCTGAAGCGTATGTAACCCAAGGTACCACTGTATTAAAATAAAATATAAATATATTAAAAAGTCTAATGCTTTAGAATAATGCAACCTCAGTGGATTGTAAATAGAGGGAGGGCATAATTCAGTGTCCCTCCCCTCCCCCATGGAAGTAGACTATTTACATCTAAATGGACACTCACGTGAATGTTAATAAGCCAGCAAAATATACCCATGACTTTGTATTGTGCTGCATTGGAATGTTCTCAAATGGCTCAGCCACTCCTTCATAAGAAGGAAGCAAAAAATACAAGCGAGTGCCAATTTATGTGTGTGCACAGGACTGCAGCCTAAGTCACCTTCGTTCATAACAACGCCATCCTTTCCCAGTACTCAGAACTATTATAATGTCATGCATGGAAAGATACTGGAATGAGTTGTTACTCCCTGTCGCCATGGTGACGCCTTTTGTGGCTTGGAAATCACCCATGAAGACAGCTCCATCTGCACTACCCTTAACAAACTACAACTCCCAAGATGCTTTGGGGGAAAGCCACGGCTGTTTAAAGTGGCATGATGGACCCCAAAGAGTAGGAGAAATATGACATACTGTGCATTATTTGGCTCCCTGCTTCCTGACTGTGTCCCATTTTCATTTTTTAAACTTACCTTCCATTTGAAGGATATGGTTTCCTATTTCTTTCTTCAATATATCGGCTCTCCCTCTGTCTGTAATCTGTATTGTGATGAGGTCTCTCTGAGTGAGCCATCTTCTGCCTCGCTGAAGTTGTCTGCAGGTATAGAAAACACAAAATCTATTGATTCAATTTGCTGAATGACTAGCGTTTGCAAAACAACATTGCATTTATTACTCAGTAAGGAAGACAAAGGAGGTATATGTGGGGGTGGAGAGGCGCAGGTAATTCTATGCAAGCAAATTGCAACTGTAGTCTTTTTAAAGCTTGTGGTGTCATATGTTAGCAGAGGACCTACCAAGCCCTCAAAGGTAAAAAACAACAACCCTCATATAGGCTGAAGCTGTGAAAGTTAGGCAAACACTAATGGGGGGGAAATAAGAGAAATACTAAAAACAAATGGAGGGAAAAATCCTGCTTTATTTTAAGCATGAGCAAAACCCATACAGTGGTACCTCAGGTTAAGAACTTAATTCGTTCTGGAGGTCTGTTCTTAACCTAAAACTGTTCTTAACCTGAAGCACCACTTTAGCTAATGGGGCCTCCTGCTGCCGCCGGAGCATGATTTCTGTTCTCATCCTGAAGCAAAGTTCTTAACCCGAGGTTCTATTTCTGGGTTAGCAGAGTCTGTAACCTGAAGCGTATGTAACCTGAAGCATATGTAACCCGAGGTACCACTGTACATGGAAACGAAATGAATAGAGAGCTCTATACCCAGTTCCAAAATCATTCATTTAAAATCTGGAACCATCACAAACAATGATAAAAACTACCGTATTTTTCCATGTATAAGATGACCCCATTTATAAGACGAACCCTATTTTTTTAAACCCAAAGTTAAGAAATTACAGTGGTACCTCACAAGACGAATGCCTCGCAAGACAAAAAACTGGCTAGTCGAAAGGGTTTTTTGAGCTGCTTCGCAAGACGATTTTCCCTATGGGCTTGCTTCGCAAGACGGAAACGTCTTGCAAGTTTGTTTCCTTTTTCTTAACACCGTTAATACAGTTGCGACTTGACTTCGAGAAGCAACTCATAGAACGCTGTGTGGTAGCCTTTTTTGAGGTTTTTAAAGACTTTGGTGATTTTTGAAGCTTTTCCAAAACTTTCCCGACACTGTGCTTCGCAAGACGAAAAAAATCGCAAGACGACAAAACTCGCGGAACGAATTAATTTCATCTTGCAAGGCACCACTGTAAGTTGTTTAGCTTTCTGTGGGGTAGGGAAGGTCACTTCTGCCAATCACTCACCCACCTGCCCGCCACTGCCAATAGCTTGCCACAGCCACTGCCAATTGCACACCTTGCTGCAGCCGCCAATTGCCTGCCTGCTCGCTGCCACCAACGGCCCACCCACCCAATTGCCACAGCCACTCGCCAGAAGGCCTTGCCGCAGCCACCAACCACCTGCCCAATCACCGCTGCCAATCTCCTGCTTGCTGCTGCCATTATTCGCACGTCCCGCCTCTGCATTCACTATCCGTGTATAAGACGACACCCTATTTTTGCCTTCTTCTTTTTTGGGGGCAAAAAGCATTGTCATATACATGAAAAAATATGGTAATTCCCAGAAATGCAGCTTCTTTAATACTGTACCCCCACCCCACCCCCGGAAAGTACATCTCACCACCAGTTTGCTTTCTTCAGCACAGCCAGCTAAAATCTTCTATAGACTGGTTCATACATGCACATCAATAACTTGACCACCAGCTAAATTGCAGTTGGATGGGTGAAGCGATTTAGTTGAAAAGGGCTGTACCTGAGGTCCCACAAGCTACTGTTTACAGTCTTCAAGGTAGAATGACTCGTTCACATATACAAGACATACATAACAATGTTGCAGTTGTCAAAACTCTTTTCTCATGGGCTCCACCAGGCAGAGGGCCTTCTTGGTACTGGCACCCACCCTGTGGAACGCCTTCCCATCAGATGTTAAGGAGAAGAGTAATTATATAACATTTATGAAACATGTGAAGGCAGCCCTGTACAGGGAAGCTTTTTAAGGCTTAATATTTTACTATGTTTTTATATATGCTGGAAGACGCCCAGAGTGGCGGGGGCAACCCAGTCAGATGGGTGGGGTATAAATAATAAATAATCATCATCATCACATGGGGAGTTAAAGCCTGCTGTGCTTGCTGCTACAGAAACTAAGGAATTGTTTGTTTTGGGGTTTTCCATTTGTAACAAAAAGCATGTGCACTGTATCAGGGTAGTTCATGGGTAGGCAAATTAAATTCTGTGTTTTTACATAAGTAGAATGTGTGCTTTTATTAAAAAGGCATCTCTGGGTTATTTGTGGGGCATAGGAATTCATTCATTTCCCCCCCCCCAAATATACTCCCCCCACAAGGTCTGAGGGACAGTGGACCAGCCCTCTGCTGAAAAAGTTTGCTGACCCCTGGAATAGTTGGATAGAAGGGAGTTGGGTGGAGGAGCCAGGATTCCAACCAATGAAGTCTTCTTCCAGCTACTCCTGTTGTCACTGTTTTGCCTTATACCGCTCAGATGGACAGGTTTCACCCAAGGGCCTCTGTTATGGAGCAGCAGCTTTAAGCAAGGGCTCAGTTTCAAAAATGTGCAATTGTGATAAGAAAATAGGAAGCTGCTAATTATACAGAATCAGACCAGGGGTCCGCTTAAGACTAAGTCAGTTCTGTCGAAGCTGATCAGCAGTGATGCTCCAAGATCAATTCCTGGGTATTGAGCTTGGGACCTTTTTCTGCACTGACCTATGGCCCTTCCCCAATGATGGGAGAAGCTGCCTTCTTCCTTCTACGCAAGAGCTCCAGGAATGCTGCCCTGCCCTGCACCTGGCAGTTCGGATTGCAGGCTACTCTCTCCCCCCCCCCCCGCCCCCCCATCCAGTCTTTGCAAAGTTGGATTTGCTGAGTTTCAAGAGTGGAAAAAAAAGCATCCAGATTTTTGGGAGGGAGGGGGGAGGGAGCTGTTCTCTCCTTCTCATTCTCTGCAATTCAAAAGCCTACCCAAAACTCCCCCAAAAAAACTCTACCCAGTTGCAGCAGGAGGAGGCACAATATTTAAACGGATCCCAGTTGTGTGGGCAGAGTGAGGTGTCAGGTGTCTACTGACGTGCGTAGGGCTGCTACCTTTGCTGGGGCAAAATACCGGACAGGGCGGGGTGGTTGGGGGGGCTATTCCCCCTCCCATCTGATGCTGAAGCGACTTCAAAGCAATCCATTACAATCTATCGCAACCTAACAGGATGGGCATGGGTGTATTTTCAAAAACTGCTTTTCAAAAATCATTGAAAAGCAATAAAAACACTAAATTAACCCTCCCCTTGGCAGAAGACTGTCCCCCAAACAAAAACCTGCCTCCCTTAATGTCCTCTTTTATGGGGGATTTTTACCCGTGATCCCCCCCCCCCAAAAAAACCCGCTCAACTAATTTTGGGAGCGATCTCCTTTATATATATGAGTTTGGAGAGGACCCCTAACTTGGCAGAGATTGAGAGACAGAACTGAAACACAATACTGTTATCGATGCAGGACGTATCATTTCACACTGAAATACAGGTGGCAACCTTAGAAGCGGGGAGGAGGCTGGCATGAAACCCCCGAACCTCAAACTGGGCGGGAATTGGCAAAGGTTTGGGGGGACCACCACCCCTTCTGCTCTGAAGCCACACTATATTTACTGGTTTGGCGTTTATCTCCCATTTCCCTGGGACTCACCTCTGCGCTGGCAAGAGTCTCCTCTGCAAGGCCCTCCCCACACGCCGAGGCGCTCAGGACCTTTGCGCCGTTGCTGGAGGCACGTCGGAAGAGAATTCGGGCTCGAAGTGGGCGCAGGACTCTCCTCTGTTTCCTCCCGGGAGGCTCTCCGGAGACCAGCAGGGCGGCATTTCCTTGTTTTCTTTTTGTGTGTGAGAAAGAGAAGGGGGGAGAGAGAGAAAGAAAGAAAGGAGGGCGGCGGAGGGGGAAGGAGAGCGCGCGCAGGTAGGACTCGCCCGGGTCCCGCCTCTCGGCTCTTCTTCTTCTTCCTCAGGGGAGAGGCGGGTTTCGCTTGGCGCCGCCCGGAGTTTCACCGGCTCTCGAAGTCCAGAGGAGTGACCTGCGGAACCTGAGGGCAGCCAGCGGGAGGGGGCGGGCCCAGGAGGGCGGAATGGCGCGGCCTCCACGCGCTCTGAGGGGCGAGGGCGCGCGCGGGTGGCGGCGGGGAAATCAGCCCCAGGAAAGGGAGCAGGTGCAGCGAAAGGGCGAGGCTCCTGTGGAGAAAGGGGGTTTGCAAGAAAGGCAGTGCAAGTAGGGAGTCCACCCGTGGCGGGAACGTGGTCCTCAGAGAGAGAGAGAGAGAGGGGTCTGAGGGCAAAAAAGCGAAGAGTTGATTTATGAATCCTGTGGAACGCCCTCCCACCAGATGTCAGAGAACAACCAGACTTTTAGAAGACACCTGAAGGCAGCAATGTTTAGGGAAGCTTTTAATGTTTGATGCATTACTGTATTTTAATATTTTGTTGAAAGCCGCCCAGAGTGGCTGGGGAAGCCCAGCCAGATGGGCAGGGTATAAATAATAAATTATTATTATGAATTGCTTCCCATAAAGCGATTTAACGTAGTGACCTGGGGTGGAATTCGACGTTGCGATGGCTCCATTTGCACAAGCATTGCAGTTTGCTAGGTACAGTGATTCACACACATGCTGTTCTGGGGGTTCTCCACAACAAGCCATAAGTCCAGATCTCCAGGGAAGGTTTTATGTTCCCTTGATATGTGTCACCTTCCAGACCCAACTGCATTTGTAAAAGGGCAAATTTAAGCATGCTAGAGATACACGGCACCATAGGGACGCGGATAGCACTGTAGTCTAAGCCACTGAGCCTCTTGGGCTTGCTGATTGGAAGGTTGGCAGTTCGAATCCCCACAACAGGGTGAGCTCCCATTGCTCTGTCCCAGCTCCTGCTAACTGAGCAGTTCGAAAGCACACCAGTGCAAGTAGATAAATAGGTATTGCTGCAGCGGGAAGGTAAATGGCATTTCCATGCACTCTGGCTTCTGTCACGGTGTTTCGTTGTGCCAGAAGCAGTTTAGTCATGCTGGCCAAAGCTGGCTGTGGACAAAGGCCGGCTCCCTCGGCCTGAAAGTGAGATGAGCGCATAGTCAAATTTGACTGGACTTAACCGTCCAGGGGTCCTTTACCTTTATATTCTGTATATGTGTGGTTTTGGCTGGGCTGGAAGCTGGAAAGAGAGAGCCCCGACTCCCTCAGCTGAAGCAGAGCAGAGACTGTGGTGTCTTTGTGACACATGGTTTATTTACACATATATTCAGCCTGAGCCCGTGATGGAGGGGTTCAGAGCACCTTCCTTGCTCACCTAATGCCCAGCTTAATCTACTTCCTAACCCACTAGTCTCTAAACTTAGCTCTCTTTATCTGCAGAGGGAGGGAGGGAGAACCCCCTTCATTTGCATATCAAACGGTTTCTTTGATCCTGTGTTGTGCTAACGGATGATTACCTCAAAGGAAATTAGCCTGACTCAATTAACACTTAACTCACGTTGATTCTCTAGGATTATCGTTGTCTAATACACACCTTAGGAAGTTTGCCTGGCTTAATTACCTTTTAACACATGCTAATTAAAGGATTAGAAGCCTCTAGAACACAGCTCAAATATACACATGGATCTATCTTAAATACACACAAGTCGGGCTATGTTAGCTACATGGGTCTATCTTAAATACACACAAATCTGGCTATTTCCCAGTTTAAATACTGCAAGGCTTTTTTAATTCTAACACTATTGGTTCAGGGACTTAAGGGTGTCTTGCACCCATCGACTTATAACAGTACCATTCCTAATTGTCACTAGGGCTACAGCCCCAAACTCACTTAACCCCAGAGAAAGCACCACTGAACCCCATACGTGCAGCTTCTGAGTAAACACATATAGCAGGTGTGGAGAACTTCAGGCCCAGGGACCAAACGTCCAGCCTGTTTTACACTCCCTGAGCCATGCTTCTCACTGCCCCTGCTCTGCACCCGTCTTGCGTGCTTATGCCTGGCTGGAATGTGCCCTTGAACTGTGCAAATGCCTTTTGCTTGCCTGGGTGGAGGATGGAGAGATGCATGTGCAGAAATTTCTCCCTTTGGCATAGCTGGAATGTATCAAGGTAAGAGTCACATCTATTGCTCTTGGGCTGGAAAAGGTCCCTTGCCCTTGATAGTGTAGGACTGACCTGCTAGTAGACCAGTTTTACTATTTCCAGACCACTCAGTTCCACTTCTGAAATGCAGTTTACTAGAATATTAGCATTTTAAAACAGTATTTATATTTTTAAAATTAGACTACTTGTTACACAGGGACGCGGGTGGCGCTGTGGGTTAAACCACAGAGCCTAGGACTTGCCAATCAGAAGGTCAGTGATTTGAATCCCCACGACAGGGTGAGCTCTCATTGCTCAGTCCCTGCTCCTGCCAACCTAGCAGTTTGAAAGCACGTCAAGTGCAAGTAGATAAATAGGTACCGCTCCGGCGAGAAGGTAAACGGTGTTTCCGTGCGCTGCTCTGGTTCGTCAGAAGCAGCTTAGTCATGCTGGCCACATGACCCAGAAGCTGTACGCCGGCTCCCTCGGCCAGTAAAGCGAGATGAGTGCCGCAACCCCAGAGTAGTCCGTGACTGGACCTAATGGTCAGGGGTCCCTTTACCTTTACCTTTACTGGTCACACAGCCTGGCAATGGCTGCTGGATAAACTTCCCCCTCCCCCAAAAAACCTTGCTGTAATAGGGTATCAGAAAAATAGTGGACAATATGCTCAACTTCTCCAGGGTCCCGGTGCAGAGCTGTAAGTTAAATAGAATATTGTGGTTATCTTCCAGCTAAAATGGTAGAGGATAACTGAAATCGAAGAAGGATAAACACATTTCTCAGGATTCATTTGCTAATGTCAAACAGTTGTCAAATACACGAGCCTGCAGGATAGCTCAATTGAGCATGAGACTCGTAATCTCAGGGCTGTGGGTTCGAGCACCACGTTGGGCAAAAAAGATTCCTGCATTGCTCGGGGTTGGGCTAGATGGCACTCATGGTCCTTTCCAACTCTACAACTCTGTGATTCTATGTCAAGGGACATTTAGCCAGAAAAGACACGTCACGTTGACTCTCAGCCTATTTTCTACATACTGGCTATTCACACATTAAGTGGCTCAGCCAGTGTTTCTCAGACTTGGGTCTCCAGCTGTTGTTAGACTACGATTCCCATCATCCCTAGCTAGCAGGACCACTGGTCAGGGATGATGGGAGTTTTTATTTTATTACTTTTTAAATTGAATTTATATACCGCCCTATACCCACAGGTCTCAGGGCAGTTCACAGGATATAATCAGAATATGAAATCCCAAAATACAAACAACAACAACCCAATAACCCACCCACCTGCAACAACAGCTGGGGACCCAAGTTTGGGAAGCTGTAGCTGCAAGTGGGCTCAGAAGGGCGAGGGAAAGCTGGTGCTAACTCAGCCACAAATCTAATTTAGGGAGGAGTGCATTGCTGTAGACCAGGCACCTCCAAACTCGGCCCTCCAGCTGTTTTGGGACTACAATTCCCATCATCCCTGACCACTGGTCCCGTTAGCTAGGGGTGATAGGAGTTGTAGTCCCAAAACAGCTGGAGGGCTGAGTTTGGGGATGCCTGGTGTAGACAGTACAGCACACCCTTCGCATGATTTAGTGCAGTGCAAGCATTACAGTGGTACCTCGGGTTACAGACGCTTCAGGTTACAGACTCTGCTAACCCAGAAATAGTACCTCGGATTAAGAGCTTTGCTTCAGGGTGAGAACAGAAATCGTGCTCCGGCGGCGCGGCAGCAGCAGGAGGCCCCATTAGCTAAAGTGGTGCTTCAGGTTAAGAACAGTTTCAGGTTAAGAACGATCTTACATGGACCTTAGATTTTTTTGAAACACTGGCTAACTCTGTGCATTTTGAGCTTCTGTGAAAGAGGCTTCAGCTAGAATGAGGTACAGTCAGTACATGGTCCATACATGATGCAGCTCTGAGCTAAGGTCAGTGCAAGGAATGCAAAATAAATTGGGTGATATTCAACCAAGCCACATTCAGAGTAGACCCATTGAAGTCATGGGACTTAAGTTACTTTCTCATGCTACTTTATAACTAATATTGGATATCACCCATTTATTCTAGAGCAGTTGTTGTGCCTCATGGATACAAAAAACAAACAAACCCTATGGCATTTAATAAGTTTAATGCAAACATGAACCCATCCTTATAGTTTGTAGAAGAAGCAGGGGTGAGGGGGAAAGAGAGAGAGACAGACTTCCTAATCCAGTATGCTTTCGTTCTGGCTTGGACTATAGACAAACAAAATACAATTCTGACATCTAGTGTCTTATGTGGCTCATAGCAATTATGAGATCAGTCCACTTTTCTTTCTATTTGTAAGGAAGTCTCTCGGTTTGGTTCATACATACATACGCATCACTTTCAATGTCTTGCATGTGTGTAAAGACTGTCACAGATCTAATACCACAGATCTAATACAACATCTCAAACTTCGGTGGAGTAAGTTAACACATTGGGCTGCAAGCCATCAGGTTTAGACAGCTCCAGTCATGGCTGCATATGCACAGATCGTCCCTTTAACCCATAATAAAAACTAGCTTATTCAATAGTTTTCTTTTTACAGAGCTCCAGAATTCTTGCACCAATGTACCAATTATTCTAATAGGGCAAGATTTTTATGTTAGGATAAATGTTGCAATAAAGTTTAATCTTCCAGGATGAAGTACTTAACCCCTAAAGGATAATATTCATACCTCACTATTAGTTTAAACAGCTTCTGATTTACAGGCAAGAAAATTACACCCCGCTCTAATCTATTGCCCAAAATAACTGCTTTGGATTCTAGCAGGGATGAGATTTGCATCCAGCCCTAGCCTCTCTTTTCATTGCTGTCAGCTCCAAGAATATATGAGAAAGAGATAATGAGAAAAGTGATCATGGACAGGTGCGATGTGCTTCTTCTAGCTGACCTAGCCACTGTGATCCACGCGACGGTCACCTCCAGGCTTGATTATTGTAACTCACTCTACATGGGGCTACCCTTGAGACTGACCCAGAAACTCCAGCGGGTGCAGAATGCCACGGCAAGACTCCTTTACGGGGTCCTTGCTGCGGGATCACATTCACCCGATGCTATACCAGCTGCACTGGCTCCTGGTGGAGTATAGGATCTAGTTTAAGGTGCTGGTAAGCCCTATACGGCCTAGGACCCTCGTATCTACAGGGCCGCCTCTCCTGGTATGTCCCCAGAGGACCTTACAGTCTTCAAACAAAACATCTTGGAGATCCCAGGCCACAGGAAGGTTAGGCTGGCCTCAACCAGAGCCTGGGCTTTCTCGGCCGTGGCCCCGATCTGGTGGAATGCTCTGTCACAAGAGAGTAGGGCCCTGCGGGACTTGACATCTTTCCGCAGGGCCTGCAAGATGGATCTGTTCCACCAGGCCTTTGGCCAAGTTACAGTCTGACCCCCTCTCTCCTTCTGTAATCCTCATAAAACTCTAGCCCAATGGTTGCCATTAATTTGATTCTGAATTGATTTTAGAATGTATTTTAATTAATTAACTGTGTGATTTTATGTACACTGTGCTATTTTTACTTGTTGTTAGCTGCTCTGAGCTCGGATTTGGCCAGGGAGGGTGGGATATAAATAAAAATTTATTATAATTATTATTATTCTACCTGTCCATGAGGGCTTAGGTCCAGGAGGGCTTCCAACCTTTGTGTTGGGATCATGAGGATCATTGAGTCAAGCAGGAATCAAACTCACAACTCTGAGATGTTTGTCTCATGCTGTACCGACTGAGATATGAATGCTGGAACCCAGAAAGATTGGAGCACCAGCATCTATTTTTCTAAGAACTGACCACTGGGTTCTCTTGTTAAATATACTAAACTTGGTTAGGAAATTGATATGCCATGGGGTTAATGTCAGAAGCAGAGCAGTTTGCCAAATACGAACAAACAGACCCCTCAAGTCCACAGTACCTGTGCCGCCACTAGGTACACAGCTGAAAGTCTGTGGGCTGTATCCAATTAAGTGATGCTGAAGAGAAGACCCATTGGAATGAATGGACCTAAGTTCATTATTTAACTTGTGGCTGTGGCTCCGATCTGGTGGAACGCTCTGTCCCAAGAGACTAGGGCCCTGCGGGACTTGACATCTTTCCGCAGGGCCTGCAAAACAGAGCTGTTCCACCAGTCCTTTGGCCAAGGCACAGCCTGACTCCCTCCTTTGGCAATCCTCACAGAACTCTAGCCCAATGGTTGCCATTAATCTGATTGGAATTAATTTTATAATGAAATGATTTTAGAATGTTTTATCATTTTACCGTTGTTAGCCGCTCTCAGCCCGGCTTTGGCTGGGGAGGGTGGGATATAAATAAAATTTATTATTATTATTATTATTATTATTATTATTATTATTATTATTTAGTTAGGTGTGTTAATTCCAGTGGGTCTCCTCTGAGCAGGACTACTGTTGCATGCAACCCTATGTCTCTTTGAGTTCTTCTCTTAGTTCCCTGGGTGTGCAGTTGCTGCCAAACATGTGTATCCTGAATTGGGGGCATCCCTTCTGACAAGTTGTAGCTGTCTGGGGATGCACACATAGAATAATAGAGTTGAAAGGGCCCCTTGGATCATCTAGTCCCAACTCCTTGCAATGCAGCTGTCTATTACAGGGATCGAACCTGCAACCTTGGTGCTATTAGCACCACACTCTAACCAACTGAGCTATCCAGCTGGGGTAAACACAGCATGCTCTTTGGCAGGGGTCAGCAACCTTTTTCAGCTGTGGGCCGGTCCACCATCCCTCAGACCATGTGGTGGGCTGGACTATTTTTTTTGGGGGGGGGATGAATGAGATGCATTTTAAGTAAAAGGACACATTCAACTCATGTAAAAACACACTGATTCCCAGCCGTCTGTGGGCCGGATTGAGAAGGCCATTGGGCCACATCCGGCCCATGGGCCTTAGGTTGCCCACCCCTGCTCTTTGACAATGACTAGATGCTTCAGGGATCAGTCTTTCTCAAAGTAAATTATCTCAGTGAAGCTGTTGGGGAAGACGGAGGGGCTCATGTCGTTATGGTGATTTCAGCTCTAGAAGCGATACAGCCAAATCACAGGGTAGACACATGCACCGGTGGAGGAATGTTCAGGAACAGTTACACCCCGCTGAACAGCTTAGCAGAGCATTTCCTCCATATTTGCTGCCATTCATAGTGTCAGCACGAGGTGGCAGTGGGCTTGTATCTGGATGGAGGCAGCAGCTTCCTCGCCTTGCAAGAGTAAGATGCCTAGCAAAGATATTTATTGTACACAAGCCTGTTTAATAAATATTACAAGCTGCTTAATTTGTTAAATAAATATTATAAGCTACATAATTGGGAAAAAAATCTCTTAACCCCTGTACATAAAACAGCAATATAATTATAATTTATATTCAGATGCAATCAGTTTTTAAAAAACTGTATATGAAAAATCATGTCTGTATTAATAATAATAATAATAATACAGTGGTACCTCTGGTTGCAAACGGGATCTGTCCCGGAGGCCCATTCACAACATGAAAAGAGTACAACCTGCAGCGGCACGTCTGCGCACGCGCGGGTTACGATTCGCAACTTCTGTGCATGTGCGTGATGTCATTTTGCGTGTCTGGGCAAGCGGCGAAACCCAAAAGTAACCCTTTCCGGTACTTCCGGGTCGCCGTGGAACGTAACATGAAGCGGACATAACATGAGGTATGACTGTATTACCAGACATCTAGAACAGTATAATGAAGGTGTCTGCCTAATCTTAACACCAGCAGCTACCAGTTGTTTCAAATTGGTTTCATAGGTTGAACACCCTGATCTTACAGCAGAGATGGGGAACCTCTGGCTCTGCAGATGTTGCAGGACTACAACTGGCCATTGGCCATGATGGCTGGGGCTGCTGGGAGCTGAAGTCCAGCAACATCTGCTTCTCTATCCCTGCCTTAATAGTAAAGGGCCATCTGGTCAATTTGCACCTGGCTATTGGCCACTTGCAACCAAATGAAGATGCCTGGCACCAGGATGTCGCCTGACATCTCCACCATCTGGAGTTGTGTGCCTGGGGATCCTTGCATCTTGACTGTTTTCACACATTAGAAACACATCCTGTAGAATTCTATCCGTTATGTTTTATCTGCACGATCACAATATGGGGGGGGGAGAGACTTTTGAGCCATCTGTCCCCAAAATGTCAACCAGGCATTCCATTTTGGCAGCTACAACCCTGGTGTAAGGAGCTATGTGGCACCTAACATATATCTGAGTTTCTAACATTGTTTCAGAGGTAAAGGTCAAGGACCCCTGGACAGTTAAGTCCAGTCAAAGGCGACTATGGGGGTGCGGTGCTCATCTTGCTTTCAGGCTGAGGGAGCCAGTGTTTGTCCACAGACAGCTTTCTGGGTCATGTGGCCAGCATAACTTAACCGCTTCTGGCGCAATGGAACACCGTGACGGAAACCAGAGTGCATGGAAACGCCATCTACATTATTGTTTCAGAATAACATACTAACAAACTAAAACGTGTTTCCTTCTCCCGTAAAAAAATCCAAGTGCTGCTGTTTTGGTATACAGTGTTTACCTCTTCTGATAGCTAGGCACAGACACAATTGTTAAAGTCATAATTCTTCTCCTATTATATGATGGCTACTTGGTCTTTTTTTAAAAACCCCAGCTAAATATACGGATTAGAATCTGAAAGCAGTGTTCATTTTCTTCTACCAGGTGGCTACAATTGTGAATATTACCATTTCATGAGGGTTTACATATATATTTGGCCTGCTTCTACTTTGACTTTCTCTGTATGATCTATTTTTTTAAAATTTGCACATTTGCCAATCAGTGGAGCAGCTTTCACCTTTGGAAACTGGTCATCCACTTCAATGCGCTTATATCTGTGAGGGCAGAATTAATAGTACGCTTATCACAGCTTGTTGCTCATCCCCATGTAAAATTCAGTCTGTGATTTGGGACAGGAGAACACTGTTAACTACTGGAGGAGAAAAATATGAAAGAGATTTGGAATGAAAAGTGCCTCATCCTTTGTCATAGTAGGAGGACTCCTAAATGATAGGAGTTAAGTGTCGTGCTGATAGTGCCAATATATGCTTTAGTCACCAGTTGGCACTGAACTTACTTGTATCCGCATGGAGCCTGTCGTTTCTGGTTACTTCCTTCCTTCCAAGAGACAATAAAGTTGTTGGCTAGCTTCCTGACTGGTTTAAATGGTAATGGCTATTGGCTTCAACATCTCTGAGTGAATTGACTTTAGTGAAGTCAGGGAGCATCATGGTCAGTATTAGTTGACCTGAATGCATCATCCGATTGCTTCTGTACGCACACCCAATGCAGCATGGATATGAATCTTCACCCAACCATGCAGTTAAGGCCAGTTCACACACCAGCCTGGTTTGCAGATTTTACGTGAAGTAGGGGATGGAAGAATGCCGTGGGTTTGCACATTTCTCCCCGTCATCAAGGGGTCATGTAGTATTCAAGGCTGTGTGTATTCCTGGGATGTGGGACCCCAGTCCTTTATGCCTTACTGTTTGGTACCAGGAGACATCCCCCTTGAGAGCTTTGGCCTGACTAAAATGTGACCTTGAACTCTAATAATGTCATACATCTGATGGGGAGATGTACCGTATTTTTCGCTCTATAAGACGCACCAGACCACAAGACGCACCTAGTTTTTGGATGAGGAAATCAGGAAAAAAAATATTCTGAATCTCAGAAGCCAGAACAGCAAAAGGGATCGCTGCGCAGTGAAAGCAGCAATCCCTCTTGCTGTTCTGGCTTCTGGGATAGCTGCGCAGCCTGCATTCGCTCCATAAGACGCACACACATTCCCCCTTACTTTTTAGAAGGGAAAAAGTGAGTCTTATAGAACAAAAAATACGGTATTTTGTAGAAATTTCCCAAAGGTTTGCATGGCTGGAATGTAACCTACTGTACAAAGGCAAGAGCCACCTCCGTTGCTTTGTCCTCTTTTGCATCTGGCCTCATCAGCTACCGGAAGGCTGTCCACAAGGGGATGTGTCCCTCAGCCTTAAAAAAATTTGACTTTCACATAACCTGTCATTAGCAGGGGCAGATGAGTGAATGATAGATGTGAGTTGCGCACATGCATGGATGGATAGCATGACCTTCATGTAACAGGTCTACATAAGCCAAAGGCTTTGCTCCCCTACTACTCTAGAGTAAGACTTTTTTTGCATTCCTGGTGCCTGTATGAATCAACCCTCTTTCTCTCCCTTGCTTCGCTAGCTGATTCTGACTCTTCATGATGGCAGCTGATGAAGAGCTTCTCTGATTTCCCAGGTTGTGTAGTATCAAATCAGATCTACTTTCTTTCGACATCTACTGGTCTTGTCCGGCTTCCTGTTTTTCCGCCATGGGCAACCAGATCCTCTTGGGAAGCCCAAAAGAGCAATAGTCTCCAGGCATGCCTGCTTCTGAGATCATATACAGCTCTCGTGATTAGTAGCTGTTGATAGCATTCAATAATTGGTTGGCTTTGGGTTTTGTTTTGTCCTCTGGAATCTCTTTATAGCAAAGGGAAGAAAACTCATTTCCAACTGGGGCTGGGATGGATGGCTTCCTAGCCAAGTTTTATTCCTTGGCCACCAAGATACAGCCTCTGTGTTTAACACAGCACCAGCTGAATGGCCGATGTGGCTGTTGAGCCAATTAATCCTACTCTGGAGGCTATAACAGCTGGGGATTATTTAAACAAAACAGTTCACATGCATGAAAGAAAAATTAGGGAAGAGACACTCTAGAGTAAACAAAAACTATATCACCCCCCACCCACCAAGCTCCTCTGTGACACAGAAAAAGTGGGTCACAGACAACCCTCCCCCCACTCCCCCCAGACCCTGTCAGAGTGATTTGAACTTCTATTGAAAACATTACAATAGGAAAGTTGGTTCCCATGTTCACTAAGCAAAACTGGATTGTTTCTCGGACAAAAGCACCAGATGATTTTTGCACGTTAATGCAGCAGCGCTGATCTGACTGCAGTGAGCAGGGGTGATCCAAGATGACGGTTTAATAGTTCACTTTGAATTTAATGGCAAGCTGCAGCTTCTGTTTGCTTTCCCTTTTCAGTTTCACACTAAGGTTAACCTTGCGGGATGACTTAATATCCCAAGCACTTGAGCAGAACAATGGGATTTTGCACAATGGGGAGCAAGGTATTGTCCACTTCTGTTACTTTTGCCAAAACTCCACAAAAAAAATTCTGCTCACAAAATGTTGCCTTGATTTAAGGGCCTTCTTACTCAACTGCTTCAGGGTGCAATAGTCGCGGGAAAATCTTATGCATGCAGGTTTATGATATTTATTTAGGAAATTTGTGTACCAATCATGGAATCATAGAGCTGGAAGGGACCCCATGGGTCATCTGGTCCAATTCCCTGTAATGCAGGAATCAAAGCTAAAGCATCCATGACAAATGGCCATCCAACCTCTGCTTAAAAACCTCCAAGGGAAGAAGAAGAAGAGTTTGGATTTGATATCCCGCTTTATCACTATCCAAAGGAGTCTCAAAGCGGCTAACATTCTCCTTTCCCTTCCTCCCCCACAACAAACACTCTGTGAGGTGAGTGGGGCTGAGAGACTTCTGAGAAGTGTGACTGGCCCAAGGTCACCCAGCAGCTGCATGTGGAGGAGTGGGGAATCGAACCCGGTTCCCCAGATTAC